GAGAGAGAGAGAGAGAGAGAGAGAGAGAGAGAGAGAGAGAGAGAGAGAGAGAGAGAGAGAGAGTGAGTGAGAGAGAGAGTGAGAGAGAGAGTGGCAGAGAGAGAGAGGGAGGGAGAGAGAGAGAGAGTGCGTAGAGACGGCGACGGAGAAAGGAGAGGAGAGGAGAGAATACGCACACCATGGAATGCACGCGCGCACGCACGCACAAATGTATGCACGTGCGCACGCATCACGCGCGCACGCACGCACGCACGCACGCACGCACGCACGCACGCACGCACGCACGCACGCACGCACGCACGCACGCGAAGAGGCAGACATCGGGGATAATGCGCGTATACGAGCGGACACGCCGGGCTTCCTCGCTGCATGAAGCAGGAGAGGCTTTCTTTCGTGTTTTATAACGACAATTTGGCGCATTCGTTTCGACTATAGACCGTCAATATTTTTGCTTCTCTCTTTCTCATTCTCTCTTTCCTATCCTTCTACAAGATGACGATAATTATTAATTCGACTCTTCCTTTCGTGAGAGCTCATGTTTGATCGAACGTTAATCGAACATTATCGCCGCGAGTATTCTCGACACGAAGCATCCTCTCGATTTCACCTCCACTCCTGGCATCCTCTCGACTTCACCTCCACTCCTGCGACAGGTGATTTTCGTCTCCCGCGTTGGCCCTTTAAATCTGTTTTCGAGCTAGGCGAGATGAGACTCGGGCGGGAAGATAGATCCACGCTGATAGAACGATTAAAGATTCCGAGAGACGCGGATACGCGTGCGCTCTTGGCATTGCGGAGAGTAATCTCCGATGGTGGGTCGTGCGATTTTTCTCGATTGCGTGCGATCCCCTGCCTCCATGCAATGGAGGTCCAAATCCACGTTCTTCCTCCTCCGTCCGCGAAGAAGATAGCAGTGGCGGCACGAGGTAATAAAATCGCGTCGCACCGCGTCGCTCGGCCAGAAGCGGCAATGGATGAACGAAAGGGTTAGCTTCGAGATTAAAAGGAAGTCACCCCCTGCACACCTCCCTTCTCATCTCTCCATCAATCACAATTATATCCTCTCTCTCCCCTGCTATCGTTCATAATTACTGCTCGTGACTTTATCCCGACGCTCGAAGCTGCCGGTCGACCAGCTCGATGCGTAACGTGTGCGCGCGCGCGCGCGCGCGTGAGAGAGAGAGATGAAGGAAGAAAGGTGGGAAGGAGGGATGTTCAGAATACGAGAGACAGAGAGCACAATCGACTTTTGGCACAGAGATTACTGTAAAACTCACGGCTGCCGGGGGTGGCAGGAATCTCCGGGAAAGGAAAAAGTTCCAAACCCTCCGGCTGTACATAGTCACGATCTCGTCGCGGAAACGGAAACGAATCCCTTAAAAAAGAGAGAGGGAGAATAAATTTCTTCTCTCTCTCTCTCTCCCTTTCCATCCTCGTTCTCTCTCGCGAATCAGCGCTGTGCGACGAAGCGTCTCCGTCCGCTACGAATTTTCTACGCCGCGCTACACACGGTGCGTGCGTGTGCGTTGTTTTTTTATTTATTTTCTTTTCTTCCCTCGAACGCAATGGAAACGCGGTTGTTCGTTACACACATACATGCGCGCGCGCGCACACACACACACACACACACACACACACACACACACACTCGGCACGCTCTGTTCCCGAGGTAAATAATGTCACGCGGCGATTCGATGACGCAGAGCGCTCCTGGAGCGCGCGGGGCGGCGAACAGTGCAACGGTGCATTAAACGTCGTCGCCGCCGTCCACCAGCCGATGAACTTACGTCACATTAAAAAAAATTGTTACCGAGTAGTCAAGGTCGCTTTTTTTCAATGCAAGTTCGCTCAGGAGAAAAAAAATATCACAGGTAAAGTCGCCGTGTGCCGTCAGCGCTGACCTTACACACATTTTTTTTCACACACGATAAACTCGATTCCGTACGGGCGATATGTTCTCGCCGACTGCACCATCTGCGCCGTTGATACGACCAACTGACTTTACAAGCACCTGCGCTTCCTCGCGGGCTCTCGCGAAATCGCGAACTTCTTTTCACGATCGATTCATTTCCACGAGGAATTCGCGATCCTCATTTTGCGTGCTCGTCGAAAAACTCAATGTCCGGGCGCGAACATCACGGAAAGGGAGGCGGAAGGGTGAGGGTCGAAAGAGGAGATAGAGAGAGATAATCCGGCGCAAAGTGCCCGCAGGAGCCTGGAATATTTCGGGCCAAGAGCAAAGGGTTCACAGTGAGGTGAGGGGAAACGAGACCGCATCGCGAACTTGACCTATCTGACCGTGCATTTAGAACACATCACGGAAGCGGAAATGGGTCAAACGGGATTTAATATGAAGCGACAGTCCGACTGGCGTGGCTGAGAGACGTGCGAAAATCGGGATCGGCGAGAGCCTCTATCGAATTGGCGTCGCGATTCGCTCGATTTTTGTGAATTCGATCATAAAACCGGTGAGCAAAGTCGGTTCTCGTTCTGACGGCATGTTCATCATCTTGCGGCTGTCAGGGATCAAAGGTGGGCTTCCTCTTGCCGAAACGTGACATCTGGACGCCGTGAAGCGACCCGGAATCCCGATTTAATCTCAAGAAGGCTCCAGATGCGAGAGCCAAACTGCAGCGATCTACGCTCAATTATCGCGCTGAAACAACGTGTTTCGTGGGTGGTTAATGTACTCACGATGAGTAATCTCAAAATTTTTCGGATAAATGAAATTTCACTCCAAACCAGTGAAAATTCACTCCAGCGGTAGTGGAAATATCCGCACTTAGTATCACAAGGGTGAGTGTCTTACTCAAACGCAAAGTGGATCCATACGAGTGAACGTTTCAATCGGTTAGGGTGAATCTGCTTCTGCGTTACGATGAAGCATCAGGTTTATCCTTCAATTTTTAATGGAAATACTCACTCGCATTGATTCAGAGTGAAAAAATTCATTTGGTATGAGTGAAAAGTCTTTTGACTTTTGGTATAAATAAAAAGTCATTTATTTGCTATGAATCAAAAATCATTCGACTTCAGATAATTTCAAGCTCTGTCTCGTTGCTCTCAGAGTGAAATTGCACTCGGAAAAATTCGGGGAGCACATGAAAGGTGGTACTAGAGTCTCATGCGTCGAACCATCGTTCATGCGCTCTCTCTCTCTCTCTCTCTCTCTCTCTCTCTCTCTCTCTCTCTCTTAACCGTCTGGAAAACCGCCTCAATTAAGAATTGCCTCGATTAATTCATTATCCTTCGTTTCATACGTGATATGTATGCTGCACATACACACACACAAACACACTCGGCGCTATCGCAGGACGACCTCGCTTCCCTGTCGAGGCCCCCGCGCGCACCTCGCTCACCTCGCACACGCTTACACGCGTGCATATAAACGGAAACCCTTGGAGTAGCCTCTACCATCCACCTCGTGTGTACCGACACTTCTGTCACGCACGAGTGGAGGGAAACGCGTAAGGTACAAGTGCACGGCGTACAGGCCCTGTAGATGCAGCGCGCACCGCGCGCGCCTACGATTCACCCCTCTTTCCGTTGGAAACGCTGAGGGATGCCGAGGGGGACTGCGGAGAGCACGGGGGCGGCTCTCGAGCGGGCACGTACGTGGGTGCGTGCGGGAGAGGGAGTGTGAGAGAGCGCTACTCTCCGAGCGGAACGGAATCTATAGCGGGAGAGCGAATCCAGGGCGCGTGGAATGTTTCTCTCTTTCTTCCATCTTTGTCCTTCTTGCGAAAACGCGCTTTTTCAGCAACACCGCCCGGGACAACCCGCGAAAAATCGAACGCATGTCGATCGCTGAACGTATCAACGACGTCGAGAGGGCGATTTCGTCGCGTTATCGCGTCGTAAAAAAGAGAAGAATCAGGCGACACGAGCGGTGAAAACGCTCGGCTGCTTCACCCCCGAAGAAGCTCCGCCGCCACGACGACGAGGACGACGTGCCTCTCGAACGGCGAACGGGGAACGGCGCGAAAAGGGTGTCGCGTTGCCCCGCAACATTTCCGCGGTACTCGCGCGTGTCTGACCTCCAGCAGTTCTACCCCCGCTTTATCTCGCTCGTCCTCAGGCTGTATCAACCTCGTCGCCCCTCGAGCCTCATCCCTCTCTTCCGTTCGTGCCTCCTTTGCCAACCGATGGACTTGAGATCCTTTATTTTATGTCCCGGCTGCCCCTTCCTATCCCGCATTCCTGCAAACATCTAGGACATCCACCTTGTGCCGATAAGGCGTCACGATTAGGAGCGCGCGATGTCGTGCTTCACGCGACATTCCGCCATAACGAAAACACCAGCTGGCTTATTCGGCGAGATAAATGCACGATGAGCGATCCGATTGTGCGAAACGCTTCCGCCTGTATCGCGCAAAATTCGTGAGTAATTACATATCTCGATCAGGTGATTATTCCTGTGCCTAATGTTATAATTGACTTCAGAAAAAGAGGTTCTCAGCTTGTCCTGCAAGTTCCGGTCCAACCGCCACTATGTAAGAACGTGTTTGAACTTGTTCAGACGTAACCTGTGTTTCGGAATATACTTTGGATTATTTACAAAGGTTTTAATTTATCGTATATAATTATCGTAGAGTAACATTGGGACATTGCCTTATCAGGCGCCTGAAGACATATAATGAAAGAAGAAAAAGAAACTTGTCCTGTATTTATGTTCACTCGTTTGTTTGTTTATATGTATACTCCCTTTTGACTCAAGAATTGTTGGAGACGTTGAGACGAAATGTTTTATAGCTTGTTTAATACACACATATCTCATTTTAACTCACATACTTCTATATGTAATTAGACTAACTTTTTTATATACGGTACCAAAAAATAGACTCCGACAAGTATGTATTCTACATTCTCCTTCCTTCTGCAAGTGAGTATCTGCGTATGCGTAGTATAGTAAAAAGTATTGAAGGAGTAATGACAGATATGCGGTATAGCCGATACTTACACATGTGTCTTCAACCAATCAGACATGACTATCCAACTTACACATCGCCAAACATCTCATTATTTACATGAGACACGTGTATCAGTTCAGTACATATTTTTTGAAACCATATATTTCACCCAAGTTAGCAGTCTAGTGTATAATATAAATATCTCTGCGTTTAAACGTTCCAACTAGCTTTGTAAATTTTAGTAATCCAACTTACACATCGCCAAACATCTCATTATTTACATGAGACACGTGTATTAGTTCAGTACATATTTTTTGAAGCTATGTATTTCACCCAAGTTAGTATTCTAGTGTATAATATAAATATCTCTGTGTTTAAACGTTCCAACTAGCTTTGTAAATTTTAGTAATCCAACTTACACATCGCCAAACATCTCATTATTTACATGAGACACGTGTATTAGTTCAGTACATATTTTTTGAAGCTATGTATTTCACCCAAGTTAGTATTCTAGTGTATAATATAAATATCTCTGTGTTTAAACGTTCCAACTAGCTTTGTAAATTTTAGTAATCCAACTTACACATCGCCAAACATCTCATTATTTACATGAGACACGTGTATTAGTTCAGTACATATTTTTTGAAGCTATGTATTTCACCCAAGTTAGTATTCTAGTGTATAATATAAATATCTCTGTGTTTAAACGTTCCAACTAGCTTTGTAAATTTTAGTAATCCAACTTACACATCGCCAAACATCTCATTATTTACATGAGACACGTGTATTAGTTCAGTACATATTTTTTGAAGCTATGTATTTCACCCAAGTTAGTATTCTAGTGTATAATATAAATATCTCTGTGTTTAAACGTTCCAACTAGCTTTGTAAATTTTAGTAATCCAACTTACACATCGCCAAACATCTCATTATTTACATGAGACACGTGTATTAGTTCAGTACATATTTTTTGAAGCCATGTATTTCACCCAAGTTAGTATTCTAGTGTATAATATAAATATCTCTGTGTTTAAACGTTCCAACTGGCTTTGTAAATTTTAGTAATCCAACTTCAGAGTACAGAGTTGTTTACGTTATGTCATGTTTAATCCTTTCGTCCCAAGTGGTACACATAGGTATCATAAATATTTTAAATTACTGGAAAGCTAGAGAACGTGTTACGGACAAGAGGGAATATTATATCACTCCGGGATTTTATGTTATTACTGTGAGGTTAAGTGCCAATCAACATCAACAAAGTTAATGTAAATGCTACGACTGAATAGTGAGCCGCTGTTTTCTCCCAAAAGTTATTTTTGGTTTGCTTCTTATTTCTTTATTTTTTGTGCAGAACATATATGTACCAGCTGGATTTTCTACCGGTACACAGTTCATCAGTAGTTGATAAACATATTTATATTTCAGTACTAAAATAAAGAGAATACTTTTGAGTCGGAAGGAACTGTGAGTGCATTGCTAAACATATGTCTGATTTTTGTCCTAGATTTTCTGACGATTATAAACCTAAAGATGATGAGACTGAAAGTGAAAATGAGTAAGAATGTAGATGAGGAGATTTTGGAAAACTCTCAATATTTAAAAAAAGTCAACAAGAGATGGAGAATTCAGAAACAAGGAGACCATGTAGAGATACAAGACGAAATTTTTACTTTTAACCGACTTGGGGAAAACAAACCTTTAGAAAATAATTATTTGCGTATTTTCTCACAGACAATCTCGTATTTTCATCACCAAAGCAATTGCACATTCGTCCGGTCAACTCTTACGTAACAATAATAATAGAAAATAATAGTAGAAAAATGTAATTGTCGTCAATGGACGACCGCAGCACTCCTCGGACGCATCCTTTACTTTAATCGTGTATAAATACTTTACTTAATAAAAAATAATATCCACACGGAAAAAAAGGTTTGGTTGAATTAACCAAATATCTGGTCGAATATGAACGATCCAGAAATTCCGATTGAAGTAACCCGAATTCTGTTTAAGTTAACAAGATTTTTGATTGACTTAAACAGAATTCAGGTTACTTCAATCGGAATTTCTGGATCGTTCATATTCGACCAGATATTTGGTTAATTCAACGAAACCTTTTTCTCCGTGCATTCTGAAGTTTTATCGTTCGATGTGTTTACGCACGAGGCTCTATTCCCTTCCTCAGTCTCGTTGGACGATTCGCTCGCGTTCATCGGGATGTACACCCGAATAAAATGTTTGCTTCCTTATATAAACTAAAAACTTAATATCAATAATAAAAAAAGTATAACTAGAAACTAATGATCCACGATATCAAGGCGAAACGTATTGTTTTCGCAGTGATTGCGCAAAATCATAAACGAAAAAAAACGATCGACACGCTTTACTCCGGTTAATAAAGTAAAAGATTTCTCTCCATGCGTATTTAACGCCAAATGGCCTATGCAAACGGAAACAGTGGCAACTCGCTCTCTCTCTTTCTCTTACAAAAGATCCTTTCGTCGACGTTTGTCGTTGACGGAAACGTTCGAGGTGCCACATTTCGCAGCTTCAAGATATCGCCTGTAACAAATAGATTTACGCCGCTCACGATTGACGATATAGCGCGACGTACTTTACACAACAGCTACGTTGATAACGTACGTCTACCTTTTAACACACCGCTGGTAATGCACATGCAACGCGCCTTTACGCAGCTTGCGAGGGTACATGTTGCTCACACAGAACGCTACATTATCGGTATCCACTGTCTCAGTGCTGATGCGAGGCGCACTCTGCGTCACAGTTCTCTCGGCGTCGAGTTTCAATCGCGGGGAAAACGTTTCGATTAATTGGCTGTAAGTGCGTCTAGTGGTTTACCCTTGAAAACGAGCTCGCCGCTCATTCAATCGACACAATTCGCCGTAATGCTCGATAATTTTTGCGTCTCAATAATTCGGCACGATCTCGCACGTGCAACTGTGCGGGAACCAGAACACGTCTGTGTAAAGGCGATTGCCGCTGCCCTCGAGCGCGACCAGCCTCTTTTGCACAAACTGCTGTTGACATCTGCTTCGATAGCCCGTAGGAATGGAGCATATACCGTTGCATTCGTCGTTTCTGAAAACAGGCAGAAAGAAATCGTGAGTTTTCTTCGTCTTCCTACTCCCTTTTCTGAAATTCCACCGGCAACGCGAGGGTCTGATTTTGAATTTTCGCGAAGTCGATTCCTACGAGACCATCTGACACTTGGGGATAAATAATTCCTGACAGTATTTTTATTTGAGGCAGCATTTTTTGCATCTTTAATAACAATCAAATACACAATTAGAATTTTAATCATGGGGGAATTAATTGAATATAAAAATATTGCCTCAGTTAGGAGTCAAACTCCACTTTCTGGTTGACGTAACATCGGTGGCCGAATTAATACGACATTGTAAAGACCAGAAAATGTTCGACGCGTGCGTTTGACACTATCAAAAGAATATTACTTTCCTACAAAATAATTTTTTGTATTACATCCGGTTTTTACTGATCTTTTTCCTTCTCTTGATTTCGCGCGAAATAGTTTGAACATTTCATAATATACTAACTAAACACCTGATTTTGCGTCTTTTCAGGGAAATAGTATACGAAGTAGTATGTTATTTGTTATAATCATATATATATATATATATATATATATATATATTATATATATATATATATCTTTCAAAAATTTTCAAAAGACATTTCTCATTGAGTTCTGAAACAACTTTTTCTCTGTCAAAATTATATTCAGAACTTACAAAGAAACCTACACAAGTATCCCATTTCCATGAACTTGTAATATGTTGTACTTTAGATCAAAATAACAGATACGTTTTTTATTATATGTGCCCTTTCGCAAGTTTAAGTGAAATACCATTTTGAAGAAAATTGGTTTTTTTCTTTCGAAGGGAATATAATGAAAACTTAAGAGATAGAAAAAAATATTTTGAATAAAAGTTGAATGGTTCGCGCGCGAAGAGTACTTTACAGAAATTATTTGAAAAGACATTTTTTTGTTAATATTATAATAATAATAACATTTTTTAAATTTTTTCAAGTAATTTCTGTAAAGTACTCTTCACACACACAAACCATTCAACTCTTATTCCAAATATTTTTTTCTATCTCTTATAGTTTTTATTATATTCTCTTCAAATGAAAGAAACCGATTTTTTTCAAAAGGATATTTCACTCTCTAAACTTGCACATATAATAAAAAACGTATATGTTCTTTTGATTTAAAATACAACATATTACAATTTCATGAAAATCGGAGGCGGACACTTGTATGGATTTCTTTGTTAGTATTTTAAAATTATAAAAATAAATAATTTGCTTAATACATAGTAAAAAACTTTGTTTATTCTTTCAAAATCGTTGTAATTCATTTAAAGTTGGTCCCTATTAAATTCTTTGGCAAAATTTTTAATATACCCGTATGTTAATTTATTAGAGTAATACAAGCGCGTATTATTCATACATAGCTTGTATATAGAATGTTACACACACACACACACACACACACATATAAAATATAACATTTAACATTAATAACTTTTTACAAAACCGAGAAACAAAATATCTCCTATCATCCTTCGTCCCGCCCCGCTCCGTTCCTTTCCTCACTTTCTCGCTTATAAAGAGACAAGGAGAGAAAGACTATCATTTTTTTACGTTTCTTTCATGTCTCATTTGGAGATTTTGCCACTCACAAGCATTTCTCGCTCTTGACGAGCTGTGTGTACTTGTTGTCCTGGTTTGGAAGGTTAACAATGTACATCCAGTTGCCTTGATTGTTTAGGGCCGCTCTAGGAACGATGTACTGCGACTGCGTTGGACATAAGGCGATGGCATCTGCATTCATTTGCCTTTTAACACGATCGCTCGACTTCGATTTCACGTAGCCCAGCAGAGGATTCATGCGGTAAGTTCGAGGCGCCACCTTGTCGCCTCGCGAGTATCTGTCGTGCAACATACAAAACATTATAAACGAATATCCAATCTGCATTTGTGTCATCGCATTCGACTCGTCTGTGCAACGTTCTGGCGTAATTTAGGACAGTACTTTCTCAGTCCGATATTATATTTAAAATTGTCTTAGATTTATCTTCAGATGCTGCAAGAGCTGATTCATTATCAGCAATATCGTACCTTGCATAAAGTAGATCTTGCGTATCTTATATAAAGTAAATTTAAGACGATTTTGAATATAAAATGAAACTGATAGTATCGCCTTTAGAAATAGGTGTTCTGACGATTACCTATTGGTCAACCATGATTGATTTGGGCTAAACGCCCCCTGCGAGTAGGTGTGTTCAGCCTGTCGTTGGATGTTACGATGGTACTTGAACGCCATTCCCGTTAGGAACGGATTCTCTTGCGATTGTGACGGCACTGAATATTTGTAGCTGCAATCCGACCCAATGTTTGATCTAAACTTCAATCTAGAAGAAGTACTTTCACGAAAGGCGGCACCGAGTCGTGATCTTACCCGTGATTGTAGCTACTGTTAATCGGAGGCCCATATATCGAGGCTGGCGTCGACGGGATTTGCGCGAACAATCCAGGATCGTCTTGTCGCGGATAATCGTAGCCTCGATCATAATCCGGAAGCGAACTTGAACATGACAGTAAAGAGAATAGCAACGATATTCAAATTTGCAAAAGAGCAATTTAAAGCTCCCATTTCCTTGTCGTGGGATTCTTGATTGATAACGTCAGAAGCGAGAAAATACACGCTTTTTTGCAAACAAAATTTTTGCAAATTATGTTGACCTAAAACGATATATTCATAAAATGACATTTGCAATCTATCAAGCAGATTTGTAAAATAGTCCGAACACTTTTCTTTTACTTTAACAATCAATAGTCGTAAAATTAACGTAAATCATGAATGAAGGTAAAGCAGAAAGGAAAGTTGTATCACATTAATTTCGTGGCTATTTATTGATTGCAGGTGTCATTTTATGGACATGTCTTTTTAGTTCAACGTATTTTTAGTTCAATGTATTTATATTTTCTGTATTATGTATTATATTTTCTCGTTTCTGACATCATGAATCAAGATGATCGCGGTGAGAGACGAGAAGCTTTAAATTATCTTAAGGTGACAAATTAGTTATAAACTTGGGAATTGAAATATTTTTGATTACGTGATATTCAGAGAGATCACGCGGCTAAGTTCTCTCAACTTAAAAGTTGACAACTTAGATATCAACTGAACGAGTGAAACATCGCGACGCGATGCAATACGACTGAGTTTCTTCCAACGCGTCGCCGATTTCTCTCGCTATTTAACGATTACCTTAACGATATTTGCGCGGAAAACGCGCTAATAAAATATCTCTACCTGTAAGTGTTGAAGTCATCGCGGGACTCGTCCCGCAACGCGGTACTAAAGTCGAAGCTGCATTTGTCCACGAGAAACTTGATGAGCCGGCTGAAAGGACGAGGAGGCAAGAACAAAAAAAGAGTGTTATATTCTCCGAGAATGGAATACAATGAGTCGGTAAAAAACCGACTCGGGCGTCGTTATTTTCTCGGGCGTTAAAGCGTTCGACCTTTGACCAGCGCAGCGTTCGCAGCGGACGAGCGATCGAAAAACACCGCGGTTGATTTATTCCGACCGAGATTTGTCTCGCGGGTTAACAAAAACATTATTTACGCAAGGTGTGTTTTCAACTGGGTCACGCACTTTATGCACCTTATGTAATGCGTTAGCTTGCTCAAGCGAATATTTGGTGAGACGAAGCCTCGTGTTTGTTTGTCGTAGCAAACTAACAAGCGATGTCTCGCGACGATATGCGGCGCAAGTCGCATACTATATAACATAACTGCCGCCACACAGCATTGCGCAATGTCGATTCAGCGATTCGATACTGTTGATGTACTAATTGACCACTAGGTCGTTCCTACGACACGCGCGTCTATCGAATGTGACAGCTGACGTTGGTACCGCGCGAGTTTCTTCGGTCAATCGCGGTTATTGCACGAACTCGTTGCATTTCAGTTTATCGAGACCTCATTGCGCCTATGACTTCTCTCTAGTCTGTTTCAGCACATTCATTACTTTCCGTTGATTATACGAAAACTTGACTGACAGTCAAATTATCAGAGACGCAGTAAATAGAAAGGTACGGCAAATAACATACGGTAAATAAGACACAGTAAATGAATTGAAACGTTGGAAAAAATTCATGAATAGAGGAGGTGACTCCAATATTTGTGGGAGAAAGTTAACTTCGGCATACGATAAATAAATTTAATTTGAGACTCGTACGCCTATTTTAATTATTGATATATTTGTGCTATTATTATTAGTTTTTAGCTCATTTCATTCATCGAGTGTACTTTTCAAGTGTAATTAATTAAACTAACGAGACGCAGTAGTACCGTGGAACACTTGGTTTCAATATGGTTTGAGCGACTTTTTTCGATGCATTTCAGCACGTAGCAGCTATATCGTACACGTCAAGAGAGCGTGTTGCGCCGCGCCTTAAAACTCAACTCATATGAGAGTGTCAGTCATTAAAAAATTCATGTAACTCTCTCAAAATATAACAAAAACATACTAAAAAGTTTAAAAATATGTGACTTATAATTTATTTGTAAAAAAATTACTAGGAAACTTTTTTGATTCATATCTACAAACTACTCAGACCTAACTCCTGAGAATTAATCCAATAAAAACTTGTGGAAATTAATAAAATGAGTTTTATGAAAATTCAATCTAATTTACACTATATATACTACATATACTACATATATTGGGAGTACAAATAAGTCTCCGCCGTTTGACAAAAGATGGCCCACCAGTAAGTTATGGTTGAAATTGTCAGATGTAAAACGTCATATCGTAAGGTTGGACATCTGGCAACACTATAACCTTGAAATATTAGTGATTTTAGCTAATGCTAGTATCAGCATCACATAATTTTTTTCGTGCGAAAATGTCGAGTTTTGAGCCGAATAAGCGTCATTTGCGGGAACTTTTGATTTACTTATTTAATTTGAAGAAATCTGCAGCTGAGGCGCATCGATTGT